TGTGACTCTGTGGCATTAACATGAATTCTTATTATTGTGCGACCACCACATTTACTGATCTTCAGAACTTTTTCATCATGGTAGACTGAAACTATGTCCATTGAGCACCAACTTCCTATTCTCGCAGTCTGTTTCCCCAGCTTTGCCAATCACTAGTCAACTTTCTCTACCTTTTCCTATTCAAGGTACTCCATCTAACTGTAATCATACAGTATCTATCCCTGATGTCTGGCTTATTCACCTAACATCATGTTTTTATAGTTCATCTGTGATATGAGCTGAACTGCATTCCTAGAAAATTCATATGCTGCAGTCCTAGTCAGTTACCTTCCAGTGTGACCACCCAAGGGCAACTGAAGCTGGAGACAGGGATAGGAGCTGGGTGGGTGCCTGAAGAAGGCAGGGTCGCCAGGGCTACTTCTCACTCTCAAGGAGCACCTTCTTCCTGTCATCTGTGGTGGATCATGGGGACAGCTCTCCTTGAAAGAAGAGCATTTCTCTCCATTTTGGTAAAGCTTGCCTACTTCCCTGTATTGATATGTATAGAGCTGGCTAGGGTAATACTCTGCCCCCTCAATTAGCTTTAAGCCATGCAAAGGGATCTAGCCAAGTCACTGACATGTAGCGTTTGAAGCTGTGTTACATGTCAGTGATCCCCTGCCTATAGCTCCTGACTACTAACCCTGAGCGAGGCTGAGAGATGGCATGCTGCTGGCTAGGACTGAGCCTCAAGAAAGAGGCAGTGACCTGTCAGGGGAGAAGGGCCAGACAGTAAAGCTGAGCAGCCAATCAAAAACACAAGATAATTCCTCAAACTGTTATCCACACCTCCCCTTCTCACATTCCTTTATGGGGAGACATAAGCCATTTTTAATTCCCACTGGAATCTATGAGCTGCTGCCAGAGGAACCATGGGAATGACTATTGGAAAAGGAAGCTTAATCTCTAAAGGCTTTACTGTAACACCAACCCTAACAGATGGGGGTTATAATCAGGAAATACCTGTGGTGCTATGTTCCACTGGCATTTGGGGGGTTGATTGCTCAGGTCGTGCTTTTTCCTGGAATTCAGTCAACTCCTAGCTTAACCCTTCATGTGAGCCTAGCAGAGAGAGCCTTTAAACAAGATTTCTTGTTCTCAGGGTATTTCAGTTCGTACTTGTACTATTAAGTTAAATGGGATGTCTTTTACTGGACTGAGGGATACGGGAGCTGATATCACCATAGTCAGTAGACACTTATGGCCATCCGCCTGGTCAGGTGGACCCGCCTCCACAGCTTTGACAGGCTGAGGCTCCTCTGGGCCTGTGTTAGAGTGCCTGCCACTCCCTACCAGCCCTGATAGAGAGACAGCCATTGTGACACCATTCACCATACCACTGCCATCTCAAAAATAGGGGCTTCTCGCTCAGGGTTTTTGTTTTGGTGAATGTTTCAAAACAAAACAAAAACCACTTATACAAGTGTTTCAGTTAGATGCCCACAAACAAATGAAAATGTAGTCCTTACACAAGTGAGAAAAACTGGGTTCTGATCCAGTTAGACTATGGAAAATTTCCTCAACATTTAGCAAAGCAGAGGAAATATATCAGGCTATCAAATGCTGTTTTCTGATGAAGGATCCAACTATGTACAGAAAGGTGGTACGCGTTCAAAGTAACCAGTTCTAGTGATGCAAAACAACACCAAAAATCCCCAAAACTTCCCCAGAACTACTTTTGAAATGACATATTAAACCTGGTGTCAGAATGCAGCTACTGTCTTACACTAGTACATGAAAAACCAAGATTCACTTTATCTTTCCGTTTCATGAACTACATCAGTTCTCCACTCTCCTGTGACACCAACTATTCATTCAGGATCTAGACCTGTGGCAAAGCCTCTCAGTTTGGCAGCTACATCTCCTTTTCCTTCTTTGATTTGCTAGCATTATCTTCTGAACATTGGGTCATGTAAAGGTTTTGTTGTACGTTTTCTTTATGTTTTTGTTTTTTTAGAATTAAGAGATACTTCAATTATCTCTGGACAGCCTAAGTTTTCTTGAGGTTCCCAGGTATTCTTAACATCTGCGGATCCCTTCCACCTCAGGGAATCCTGCATCTTTCCATTCATTGTACCTCGGTCTAGTGATTTCCCTACCACAAACTCTTGAAGTTCTGCCTCAAATTTCCCATTTCTTCCTCATGTTTGGCAAAGTATTTTTACTAGAGGCCAATTTTCATTGCAGCACTCAAGAGTGAGGCCTTGGCTTACCAAATCTCTAGTCCTGGACCATCCAGCTTTTTTCAAGTGTGTGGAATCCTACGTACCAGTGCCCAACTGCCTTCCACGTCCAGTGCCATCTCCGTGCATGGCTTCCCGGTCCACAGCAAGTCCACAGGAGACAAAGGTTCAAAGGCATCTTGCCAGAGAGAGCGCTCCCTTTGGAAGCAGCCATATAGCTAGGTGCTGTGGGCAGCAGAAAACTCAGTTTCATATGCTTTAACATTAATTATGTCAACATTGTCATTTTTTGATTGTGCTTTTGGTTTTGTCTGCCATAAAATGTCATTGTCAAAACTAAGGTTATCTAGATATTTCTTCTATTATTATTCTAGAAATTGTATAATTTTAATAGTACCTGGTTGTGATTATTAAAATGTTTGTTAAAGATCATTGGCTGGAGGCTTTTATGCATGATATTCTGTTAGTCCAGCTCCACTTGCTAAGAATTCAATATTTCTACACTGACCTAATCGATTTGTAAAACTTTAGATGAGTATATTTCTAAAGACCTATTTTTGAATTTGCTACTACTTTCCCTTGATTCATTACCATTTTCTACTACTATAGTGTCTTTTTCAGTGATTGATTAACTATAAATCTTGAAGTTGGATAGTGTCAGTGCTCCAAATTTGGCCTTCTTTAGTACTGTAAAGGTTATTTTGTCTTTACATATAATATGAGTTGGAAATAACTGAAATTTCTATACATAGATTGTCTTGATTTTAATTGGAAATATATTCAGTTATACATCAAGTGGGGAAACCTAGCATCTTAATACTGAAGCATCTGCCAGAAACCTGGATTATCTTTCCATTTATTTTGATGTTGTTTATTTATTTATTTTTTTATACCAGGGATTGAACTCACAACTTCGTGCTTACCAGGTAAACACTTGAGCCACTGAACTAAATTCCCAGCCCACTGTTGTTTGTCTTATTGGCTTTGTATTTTTCCTTAAATTGGTCATGGGTGTATTTTGTTGAATTTATTCCTAAAATATTTATTCATTGGTGGTACAATCAGACCTTGGGATATACCAAATGCTATAGCTGCTTAAGTATAATATTTGTGTATAATATACCTATGTCCACTGATGTACTCATATATTATCTATAATACATAATATTAGTGTCATGTGAGCACTTATTATACTGTATTTTTAGGGAATTATGACCTCAGAAAGTGTTTTCACGTGTTCAGCATTGATGTAGATTTTTAAAAATATTTTTAGTTTGTGGTTGTTTGAATCCACAGGTATAAGACCTGTAGGTACACAGAACTAGGCGTATATGGTTAAGCAATGGACACTTAACTTGTGTATTAGCTTTATATCTTGCAACCTTGCTATAATCACTTTCTCATCTCAATAATATTTTTAATGATTTTTTTATTTTCTGAAAAAATCTTCATGTCATCTGTACACAGACATATGTACTTCTTCTTCCTTCTAAATCTCCATACATTTATTTTCCTGTTATAGTTCATTTGCTGGAACTCCCAGTACAATGTGAGGACTGATGAGAGGGGAAAACATTAACTTTTTCTCACACTTAGAGGAAAATCATATAGGTTCTCACTGCTAAATAGGTTACTGTAGGATTTTTGTAAAAGAATTTTTTTGAGGCTTTCTATGTAGTTCAGGCTGGCCTTGAACACACAATGTAGGCCAGGCTGTCCTCGAACTTGTAGACTTGTAGTGATCCTCCAGCCTCAGCCTCCTGAGTGCTAGGATTACAGGTGTGCTCCCCCTAAACCCAGCTCACTTTTACCAACGTTATCAGGTTGAGGAAATCCCCATTTATCCTATTTTTTCTAAGAGATTTTATTGTAAATGGATGTTGTATGAATTTTTAAATATTTTTACATATCTTGATATCACCAAACAATTTTTCTTCTTTAGCCTACTGAAATAATAGATGACATTAGTTTATTTTTGAATGTTGAACCACCCTTGCATACCTTGTATAAGTCCGAGTTAGACATGGTGTGATTCTTTTATACAATTTTGGATTGCATGTTCATAAGAATATTAGTCTGCAGATTTCTTTTTTTTTTTGTCTTTTTGAGACAAGGTCTCTCTGTGCAGTTCAGGCTGGCCTTGGGCTCACTTTGTAGCCTCAGGCTCCCAAGTGCTGGGATTACAGGCGTGAACCCCCACGCCTGGCTGTTTGCAGATTTCTTTACATGTAATGTCTTTACTCATTTTTTATTTGAGCCATGGTAGCCTCATAGGATAAATTAGAAAGTGTCCTTTTCATTTTCTGGAAAAAAGGTTAAAGAAAAATGATATTATTTCTTCCTTAAGTATTTGGAACAACTCCACACTGAAGCCACTGTTGTTCTTAGTTTTAGAAGGTTAATACTATTGATTCAATTACAGCGCTTCATAAATATGGTCCTATGCATACGGCCCGTTGGTATTTATGTAGATTTGGGCAGGTTATATCTTTCACAGAATTAGCATACTTCATGTAAAATATCTGAGTTGTGGGTAAATATTATCCTTTTAATATACATAATTTCCATATTGATGTCCCCTCTTTTGTTCCATATACTAGTTATTTATGTCTTTTATTTCTTTAATGAGCATGTATTATGATTATCAATTGTATTGATATTCTTTTTTATTTTAAAGAGAATAAAACAGAACAGTAATATGAAACAAAACAAAACGGTAATAGGACAATAGGAAATTAACAACTGTTATTATATTGCATATTGTTATCCTCTAAATAGTTACCCAAGACCACCAGCCTCAGGCCTTCAAGACAATGATGGTGGAAATCTCAGTAATGCTATCATTCTTCTGGAACAGGCTGATGTCCAAGAGGGACAGTGTGGGTCACAGCGGAGCAGTGCAGCTGACATTTGCAGGTGAACTTAGGGGTCTAACTGGGAGTGCAGTTTACTTCTCTACAGCCGAGTCCTCATTAGATGAAGTGTCCTTTCTTCCCCATGAGGTGGCTGTGAGGACAGTAGGGGTTGGTGGATGTGGAAGAATCTTGCAAGGGATGAAAGTATCCCCTCCTTGTTCCTGGCTATCACTGTGAGGAGCCTTGGACACTGATGGCTGGCCTTCAGGTCGAATCTGATGTGGTGTCTCCTAGGTGACATTCTGCTCAGCCTCCTGTAAGATCCCAGGTGCCTCCCTTCTCTGCCATAACCCAGTCTATTCTTCTAGCTTGCAGAGACTGCCGCAGGGAAGTGGAGGAGACTCGGGATCTAGTTTTACTTCTACAATGGTGAGGGGCTTTCCACTTCCACCTCCTTGCTAACTCCATGGGAGACAGCATGCTGGGGGCTGACTCTGTGAACCTATGGTGCGGGACAGTGGAGAGACTGTGGGCCACATTTGCCCAAACTACCCAGTTCTGGGCAATTGTCAAGACCACGTTTTTCTCCACCTGAGCATGTGGCAAATCCCAGCAAGAACCTCTGTCTCACCACCCACCAGACACTGTGCTCTGGGGAGGCCCCACCCACTGGCTGGCAGAGGCAGGCAGAGGGGACCACGCTTTCATCCACTGGATGTGCAGAAGCTGCCGGAGATGTTGGTCAGCAAGAAAGGCAAACAGAAAATGTGCCAGGGAAAACGCAAGGGTGGCTCATTTTTCCTACCAGTGAACACAGGGTACCCCGGGTTTCCCTGAGAAGCCTGTTAAGGTCACTGGGTGACAAACTCACCTGTGCACAGCCTCTGGCAACACAAAGGGCAAAGCAGAATGGCTTCTTGGTCTCGGCAGGTCACTGTCCACAAAGTCTTTGGAAGCTGTTTAGAGCACAAATGTAGCCAGTCTTTCAGGAACATAACCTAGAAGGGGAAGAGTTGAATCAAACTGAATTTATGTTTTTAGTATTTTTAGGAATATCTAAACTGCTTGCCATAATGTAATAATTTATATTCCCACCGACAATGTGGAAGAGTTCTTTTTCTCCTTACTTTTCAGATTATTTTAAAAGAAAAGTTTACAAATATATTTGTACAGTGTGCAGCCCCCACTTAAACACTAGAATTCTGTGGTTATTTATGCAATTTGTAACCTCTGTGGCAGAAAGAATAGTCATAGAATTCTCCACTACTGGAACATTTATTTCACATCAAAAATGCATAACCTGTCACTTAACTATCACATCCCCAAGTATGGTTCGCCATTATGCAATCCCCATGTTTTTAAATTGATCTGTGCCTAATTTATTCTTTTTCCCATTCATTTTGTTATTTAGAAGTGTGGGGCTTGTACATTTCATTTCACCACATGTTATTAAAATATGCAGTCTCAATGGTCAAGATTGAATAATATTTATTTTTATGCTTAGAGGTCACTTCATTTTATTTTATTTAAGATAAAATAGAATAAAACCAATCAAAACAAACCATGGGATTTCAAAACATTACAGAATCAACAATAGTTACCATAATGCCCTTTGATGGCTTCAAAAATAGCTGCAGATAACTTCAGACATAGTAAAAATCAAACAGAACAGAATAGAAACAATAAAAACAAAACAATGAATGCAATATAAGACTTCAAAACAAGCCAATAGTAAATCCAAAATTGCTACTATATCTTGCTATCTTTGAAATAGCTGCTTCTGCCATCGGATTTACCCTAATCAAACAAAACAAAAGAGCATAAAACCCAACCCAACAAAACAGTGGAAATGATACAGGACCTCAAAACAAGACCGTAGGGAATCAACAGTGGCTACCACCCTCAGAAGGAGATCCCCCTAGATGCCACACTGTGTACCGCTGTCCTCTGAACCCATGATCAGACCACTGGCCCTAGACCTGCAATGTTAGTGAAGCATCATGGGCATCCAATTGCATTTCATGTGCGTGCATAGCTGTCATCACAGCCTGTGTTTCTCTGGGTAAGCCGGTTACTTACGGGAGTATGGGGGGTGGTGGGATTGTCTCCTCTTGTTTGCCAGCCCACTTGTCAGAAGATGATGGGGTCTGGCTGTTCCCAGCCCAGCGGCGGCCTGCATGGCACTGATTCCCAGACTGGGCTTGTTTGCTGGTGTGACCTTGTTCTCTCTCCCAACCCCAGTCTGTGTATGGTACTGACTCACAGGAAGAGGCTGGGGTCTGACTGTTCCCAGTCTGGCAGTGGCCCGAGCCTCAAGACAATAATATTTATTAGTCAGTTGCTTAGTTAAAGCTGCCAGTGTGGTCCTGAACACTTGAGGAACCTCCTGCCTCAGCTCCCCAGGTGGCTGGATCTGGCCTTCATAGTGCAAGTGTGTGAGAGCGATACGTAGAATCACTATTGCTGTCCTGCAATGCCACTGTCTTGACATTTTAAGGCACCAGCAGTTCTCTCCGCTATGCCTCTATAACTTTAGTGGACATGTCACCATAATTGTTTCAGGAAAAATCATGGCATTCAAGAAACTAAACTTATACTTGAACATGGCCCCACCACTGCACTTGCAATCAAGCACGAAAATCTTCTGACGATTCCTGGAAGCTGACCAAAACATCTGAGGAGGTCATGTATGTAGAATATAAAAAACTCCTTACCAGCAACACTCCAGTTAGGAAACGGGTGAGCAACCTCAAGTTGCATTTTGTCCCTAAGATGACCTTAAGGACGTATGTTTGCCAAATAGGCAGTGAAAAGATGACCAAATCCAAAGGTACCCCCTCCCAGGGATCCTGGGACCCCACCAGCATCCTGCAGTTGCATTCTGCTAACGCTGTCTCTCTGGGGCTCATGAAGAATCATGAAGAACCCACTAGGGGAGGGTTCCAGCCCCCAAGACTCCCCTCACTGCTGTGACAGCCACCAGGCCCAGGCTGTCACCAGGACTTCTGACCAAGTGACCAGGATGAGCGTGCCCCCGGCTTACCCCTCCTGAGATGTGTTACTATGGGCTGCAGGAGTCCCCGTGTGCCCTTCTGCTCCCTTCTGTGGTCCCATGGTCAGCGGTGTCTTCCACCAAGCAGGGCTCTGGATGGATTCCCAGGAGCCCAGAGACGATTTGTTTCCAAGATCCTGACCCAAAGTTAGTCTCTGCTCTCTGGGACAGAGGCCCAAGGGCACAGGGACCCAGCCGTGGGCTTGCTTAGCCCAGGAGGAAGCTACCGAGCTGTTTCCTCTAGCCCTTGGCACGTCCTCCCTTATCCCTGGCAAGGCATGAGGGACCCGATTCCTCACATGCATGCCAGCGTTTGATGTCATGATTCCTCACCTGATACTAATGAATATTAATGATATGAATGAAATGTCTTGGATATTCATGAAACATCTCTGTGGTTCAGGTTTCAGCTCTTCGGGTCAATGTGACAGTGAACATTTCCCCAGTGCTTAGTGCCTCCTGCCGATCACCTCGGTAGGGTGACTGTGTGGGCCTCTCCTCTGTCTTCCAGGTGTAGCTTTTCTTTTTAGGGTTGGGAGTTGAGTGTTTATATACCCCAGGTCTTGTCAGACACATCACGGTAGATGTTCCATCCCTGTAAATGACTTGTCTTTTCTTTCGACAGTGTCTTTCACAGAGAAAGTATTTCAGATTTTGGTGAAATCAAATATATTGTTTGTTTGTTTCTTTTCTTTTCTGTCTTTCTTTTTTTTTTTGCTAGTGGAAATCGAACTCATGACCTCATACTTGCTAAGGGATGGATCATGGTTTTGTGTAAATTTTAAGAATTTTTTGCTCAGCGCCAGGTCCCACAGATTTTCTTCAGCATCCTCCAGCTCTACATTTTCACATTTAAGTCCACAATCCAGGCTGAGTCATCCTCGCTAAGGTGTGGAGTTTTGATTGAGCTTCAGTCTTCCTCCTCTTCCTGCTCGCCTTTGCGTTCTCATGTATTCCAGCGCCATTCATGGTGTCTGTATTTCTTCTCTTGAACTGGTTTTGTTCCTTTGTCAGTGGTGGAACAGGTGTATTTATGTGGGTCTTTTTCGGGTGCTGCTCTGTTGATCCATGTCTAGCCCCCTGCAAACACCATTCTGCCCTGATTGCTGTAACAAGCTTTAACACTGGGAATGGAGAGTCTTTCTATTTTATTTTTGTCATTCAAAATTTATTTTTGGATTTTCTTGGATCTTTTCCTTTTCATATACATATTAGGCTATTTGTAAAAGAAATTTGCTGGGATCTTACAGGAATTTCATTAATGTATAAGTTAATTTAGAGAGAATTAACATCTAAATGATGTTGATTTTCCAATCCATAAACACAGTATGTCTCTCTAAGTGTTTAGATCTCCTTTTATTTCATCAACACATTATGATTTTTGTTATACAGACCCTATTTATCTTTTCTTAGGTTCAGATTTAGTACTTATTTTCTATGAATCAGTAGTAAAAGGTATTCTGTGTTTTATTATTTCAATTTCTACCTGTTTGTTTTCAATCCACAAAAGGGCAGGCTTTGGTGTTAATTTTGTGTCATAGGAATAGTCTCAGAGTTCTGCTCGTCTTTCGGTTCTGGTTTGGTTTTATCTTTACACAGGCAATTATGTGCATTGTCCACTCACAGAAATTTAGAGTTAACTTGTGGGACTCACTTTGATGATGGGCGGTGTCCGGAGCTCTGTGGGCAGAGGTACCGAATGATGGATCACGGGCAGATCCCCACATACAACGGTTAGATTTACCATTTTCCAGCCTTACGATGAGGGTAAAGCAGTGAGCTTCAGTAGAAACCATACTTGAAAGCAGCTTCCTGGGTTAGTAATATGTAATGCGTAATGTCTCTCTCGTGATGCTGGGTGGTGGCAGGAGCCCCAGCTCCCAGTCATCCTGTGATCCTGGGGGAAATGATGGACTCTGAGTAATGTACTGTGACACCAGGATTTTGGGGCTGCAGATATTGAGGAAATTGCATGGAATACTCATCATTTTACCATAAGATAACTTTAT